GTAAGTCAGAATTGCAATCTTGTGTGTGCCTGTTAAAGTCTTGCCTCTGAACTTTACAGTCTCTTTTGGAACGTGGGATGAAGAGGAAGTGAGACAGCACAGGCAGGTGCAGGTGTTGTGTCTAGCTGGAGTCTGGCTGAGCACTGCTTTCCTCCATAGCTGCCTCTCCTGTTCTTGGAATGTGTGAAATATGTATCTTAGGGTACTAACTGGGTCCCACTGTATCTTATTCCATGTCTTTCTCTGTAAAGAAAGTGTTCTGTGTGCATGTATGTCTCCATGTCCTGTGCTTTGTAAGAACTGTCAGAAATCTTAAGCCACATTTGGGAAGTGTTGCTTGGACAGATGTTTTAATTCCACTTACTGATGGGATTAACTATGTTTACAGAGTTTCTGCCTTTGGACAGTGTGTTATGAACTGTACCCAGAACTGGGGAAATGAAGAAAAGGTTTTATTTACAGATGGCTGTCAGTGCACAGTGTTGTAGCTGGGGCTCTGGAGCATTTACCTTGTCACAGCCAAACCCTGTTCTTTCCCCATCTCCAGCCCCATGAGTCTGTTGTTGCCCGATTTTCCCTTCATTTCAGTCCAGATCTGCTCTTCAGATGTCTCCAGAACTCCAGGCTCCAGGCCCTGCCTTTATGGCCTTCATTCCTTGTCTCTATTTTTAATTTTAGCTCCTGTTCCATAGGATTCCCCCCCTGCAGCTTTCAGGTCTGACCCAGCCCAGCTGTGTCATGTTGGGAGCAGAGAGGTCTCTGTTCCTTTTACAGCCTATGTTTTCTGTAAGAAATATGTAATTTCTGAGAAAACTTCCCAAGTGGAAGCATGAATTCCCACTAGTGAGGTGTGCTAGAACACCCTGATATGCTGCACTTTGATCAAGGGTAACCTCTTTCTTTACAGACCTGTTCATTATGTTAGCATAGCTTGGTGTTGATCTGTTGGCTAATCCACAGAGTCTATCACAGGAAGACGAGGATATGAGGAAAGAATGCACCATTTTGGGTTTGACTTCAGTCACAAAAGTGCACATACTACATACCTGAAGAAACTTTTGTCTAATGACTTGGAAATAATGAAATCATTTGGCACTTTTAGGTTCATTTGATACCAAAAGTAGAAAAAGAAGGGATGAAAACATCATGGCAGTGAATTTGTTAGATATCAACATTCCTATATGTTTTCTTTTAAAATTTTAAATCTAATTGTTTGGTATTTTGGTATATAGTATATTAAGGGTTAAAGATAGTGAGATTTACAATAGAGAGCAAGTTTTAACTTAATTGTGGAATACTAATGACCATATAATACCAATTTTCTAAAACATCCATGTGGCATCAGAATGTTGGCAGCTGGGACCTGGGCTCAGGAAGATACCCTGCAGTGCTCTTAACTTGGTGTACAGGATTAAATGCATTCCCTGTTCCTCAAAGTCCCAGTTTTACAGTGTGACTGAGTCTTGGGGTTGAAATGTCTGTCTTGTGGCATATGGAATAACCTGCAATAAGACAAACAAACTGAAATGGTAGGGGGAAAACAAAACTCCAAAATCTAATTCTAGATAGATTCCAAATTTGCTGGGTTTCCTTGTTGTAGTCTGTAGAGCACAAAAAGGCCACTCTTAACACCTGCGTGCTGAGAAACCACATTTGAGCCACCAAAAGTAAAAATTGCTCTTGACCTTGTAAATATGCCTTGTTCTCTCAAGACCAGACCTGTGAAAATTCTTGTAACAATGATAACTGTTTTAAAGCAATGCAAGCATGGTGCTTTATAAGATCTGTTGCTTTTCTGTCCTTCCAGATGGAAGAAAAGGGTTCAGTCAGCTCAGCATGTGACTTTGCTGAAAGCAGGCACAGAGGGGAGGACAATAGGCAGCTGCTAGACCCATCTTGCCTGCCCGACAGTTCTTACCTCCACTAGGTAGTACTCCCACTGTACCCTAACGTGTGTGTATTTATTTACATATATCATACTGAGACAACCATTGAGCCATCTCCAAAAGACCCATATTTTTGGTATCCACAAGAAAAATTGCATCATAGAATGTTGATTTGATTTTTTTTTTCTTTATCAAGCTGAATCATTCTTTAATTCTGCACCTCAGTTGCTTTTTGATTTTTTACATTCAGTGGGCCATTCTCATATGAAGTATTATGTTTATTGAGATTCCAGATCTTACTTTATGAACATACTTTATTTGCCACCCAAGTATTAATAATATCTGGTATTTCTCTATACTCATTCATTGTCTCTCCTACCTTGTGTTTCCTGAGGGTTTGTTTCAGGTCTCCAGGGAAGAGAGATTATGCCTTCTTGCCTTGCCATGCCAGGTTTTACTTTGGTATAAAGCTATGACCATAATTGTCCCCCACAGAGGGAAAGTGAGAAAAGGGACTCTCTATCATATGTATCTTCCTTCCAGGTAGTGGATGTAAATACAAAAATCCATGTTCACCAGGCAATGATAAACATTATATCTACATATAACATTTAGTTAGTTTTTTGTCCTTAATGTTCTCACAGCATTTCTTTACGTTAACTGTGAGTTTGACAGAACAGAATTGTTTCCAGCTTATATAAGGTCTCATGTGCCATTTCTAAAAGAAGTTATATTAACTTTTCCAGAAGTTGTGGTTCAAGCATGATCCTACCTTTTTAACCTGTGAAAAGAGGAGATTTTCCAGAAAAAGAGACTAATATTAGACCTCCAAAATCCTGAGCTGAGGGTTTGCTCCTTGGAAGCTCGTTTGGGTTACTCTTGGTTCGTCTTTCTGACAGTCTTTGTCCAGGTCTGCTGGCTCTCAGGGTAATAGATTCTAAGGAAAAAAAATGCTCTGGTTCATCTGATCCAGCATGCAGCCACTCTAATGTGACTTTCTGCAGGAACTTTAAAGGTCTTCTTGAGGATAATGGATGAACTAAATACTCTGTTTGAAATCCTGAGTGTAGGAATGTTACATTTCTGTATTGCTGTGACCACAGCTGTGAAGGTCACTACATCTGCAGCAGGGGGTTTGCCTGCTGACATCCAAACGGGAATTCCTTCTGCTCTGTGTAATCTCTTGTGTTTCAACTCTGGGAGCACAGTCTGAAGTGGCTGTGAAGGTCATATCTGCTGGTACTGCAGCGCTGCAAAGTGTGCAGTTCCTGATTCTGGTATGTGCTGTGGAACTGCACTTGGGACCAGTTGTGGTGGTCCTCACATGAGGGTGTTCAGGGACTCAGGCTCTGTTTGAGGAATGTTTTGTTTTGTTTGTCTTTTAATCAGAACCCCTTTCAGACCTGTCACTTGCAAATCTTCTGCTTCTGCCTCTCAGGTACAGAAGTTCATTGTCACAGTAAATGTTCCTTTTGTGTCCCAAACATCCCCCAGATGAGTGTGTGAGTTAAAGCATGTTCTGCCTGTACTCAGCCACAGCCTCTGAGGTGCAGCATCCACAGGATCGGGGGGCTCAGTTTGTAGAGAATCCTGTACCTTCCAACAGCTGCTGACAGCTCTGTGAACATCACAGTGAGTGCTGTGATGGGAAGGTCGGGAGGGGCTGTGGGGAATGTGGCACAGGGCTGAGGAAGGGGCAGGCACAGGAAAAGGTGCATGGAAACAAACACCAGCTCTGAGTGTGTTCCTCCTTGTCTTACCAGCTGAGATTTTTCTCTTGTATTTCCAAAAGCCTTTTGTTTCTGTTAGCTGCCTGTTCTTTGTTGTGTAGGCTGTTCTTTTGTTGTGAAGCTGTAAATGTGTCCAGCTGCCTGTTTGGGGTGATTTGGAAAGAGAGTGTGTCCACTCAAAGTAAACCATTCCCATAGGGAACTCTGGAGGTTCTTTGCTTTTCTTGCAGTATTTGGCAACTGTATGTGGCATGGACGAAATTGGAGCTCAAAAACAGAATCTTAGACAGCAGTCAGTGACCTTTGGTGTCACAGTGAATAGTTGTGGGAAGGTCTTAAGTGAGCTGTGTCCTGTCATGGACTAAGATGTCTCCTCCCAGAATTCTTCTTTCACTGGTGTGAGGAGAGGGTAATGGATCAGTTCAGCCTCTTAAGTTCAGCCTCTGTGTTCAGTATTTGTTTGACAAGATGCTCTCATGGAGAGTTGAAAATTAAATTAAAAAGCATCCCCACACTTCATATTTTTATTTTTCTTTGGAATGGTTACTGAAGTCAGTTTAGGATATTCTCTCTGCAGAAGTAGGAGATTCCAGTTATGCTGCAGTGGGTGCAGCAGTGCTGTAGAGGAGCACAGTGGTAGGTGGCACTTACACTCATACATCTGTAACTGCTTTCTTTTCATTTTATTTCTTCCTTATTTTCTCACCTATAAAACGTGAGCTGTTGAAAGAGTTTATTATGCTAATGTTGAATTATTCTTCATGCTGGCATGAACATGACTGAACCTTTCTGACATCAGCCTTGTTTGCTTTTGGATAACCATGTTCACACAATCAGGAATGTGCTTTTGTTCCATACCAAGCCAAGGGTGTCTATGGTAGTGATATAATGTCAATTATTCTAGGAACTTGCATTGTGCACTTGAGGAAGAATTATGTGGGATCAGATTGCTGTGTTGTATTCTGCAGCCTGAAGCTTTGTCTTGATAAATTTCCCTTAAAACAGAGCTGAGCTGGTATAAATTGTTGCAGAGGTGAATCAAGGCATCCCAGCTGGAAGTGCATGTGCTCTGCTGTGGGGCTTGTTGGAGGGAATTCCTGACCAGTTCATTTCCAGTTAGGCAGATGTGGTGCCAGACCATTTCCATACTCAACAAGGCTGCACTCAAACCTTGGGAATAACAAATTTTAGTGTACGTAGACCTTAGGAAGTGGTAATATTATTGTTGTAGTTCTCCTATAAAATTGAAAAATATTCAACACTCTAGCTTTAAGAAAACCTGCTTTTCCTAGGTGTTTTTTGGTGACATCTTTATTGCTAGAATTTGTGAGTACTCATTTTTCTTTTTTTCTTTTTTTTTTTTTATTTTATTTTTTCTTTCCAGCTTACTGAGGCAGGTTCAGGTATCAACTGCTTGGACTCCATGTGCTGCTTCTCAGATGGGGAAACAGCATGCACATCTGTTAGAAGAATGCTGGAACGACTAATGGGAAGGTGTAGCCCAGCACGGGTCAACAGGTGTGGCATTTCTCTCAATAGCCTTTGCTGCAGACGATTCTCCTATAAACTGGAACCCGATGAGCCTGCAGCAATAGATGTCTAGAAACTAGCTGCAGGTTTTGCTTATCTAAGTAGAAAATGCAACTCTTTATTGTACTTTTTTCATCCTAAAAGATTAGCTTCTTGTTTCTTTTTGAGTGGTTTCTTTTGGGATGGGAAAGGGGAAAACGGTTTTTGAAAGATTTCTGTTAAAGTGTTTAGTTCGGCTTTACAAGCTCTTGTGTTGTATCTATCGTAATTTCTCTTGATTTGTACATTCTTCTCTTTAGAAAATCAAGCCTTGCTGCTGTTTTTGTTCTCCTTTTTATGATTACTTTTTTGCTTTCTCAAATCAGGAGTTGTTTGTAAAGTCGAAAGACTTTTCCCTTTGATTCTTGATGTACAACCTCCAAATATTTACCTTGGAGCTTGCATTACTCCTGAAGGTATACAAAAGGCTCACATTCCCCCCTTAAATCTAACTTCATTATTAGGAGGAGAGCCTTTAAATCTTTCAGCCATTGATTGATATGAAGATGAAATATTTTTGTAGTATAACTTTTATAATCTATTTCTAAAATTAGAGTGATTGACAGAACAGAGTCTTCAGGTTCTAAGAATTTTCAATGTTTTTTGGGTTCCAGAAGGTATATTGTCAAAATCATGTGTGCCATTCCAAAGTATGTGCTAAATAAATCTTTCCTTCACAAACCATGTGTGAAACAAACGTCAGTGGGGTAAAAGCATGTTGAGTAATTGAATATGTCTGAGAAGCAACACTGCTTTTGCAGTCAGCCCAGCTGGGAGAGGAGCTCTCACTGAATCCTTCATGTGCCATCTCCCCATTTCCAAACAAAGAGGGATAGCAAATAAATATGGAAATATTTGGGGGTAGAAATAAAAATAGTCTTTTGTACATCGTAATCTCTGTCCCTGAATGATATCATGGTCCTTCATTGGTCAAAAGGCAAACCTGAAAACAATTCACAAAATGTGAACTTCACACATTTTCAAGGAAACTCATTTTGTATTTGGAGAACTTTGTCTCTTTCAGTTAAAGGTTGTGATATCATTCATTGGGTATCAAATCTCGTGTGGTAATTTTCCCTGACAGCTTTGTCAGCTCTGATTCTGCCTTTAGGTATTGCCTGGTCTGTAGCTCATCTCTGTTGGAACTCTTGTGTTGAACACGGTGTCTGTGCTTTCAGTCAGTCTCTCTCTTCTGGCTTGCTTGTGAAATTTATTCAATGTTTCTACAAATCTAGGGTATGAGTATGCAAGAAGTTTCATTCCATATGAAAAATGAACTGTTACAATTAAGTACATTTTTAATTCAAACTTGCTGTGTAGAAAGCGGGCATGATGTGTAAAATAAACAGTTTAATAGAATTTTTAATCTACAAGGTGAGCATTTAATTGGTCCAAAATCAACATTTTGGTAGCAGTTGCTCTAACTTTTCTGGGGTTTTTTTTCACTTTTCTGTAAAACTGTGCTTTCCAAATGAGGAATTTTTCATTGCTTCTTTTCACTTATTGTTATCTAATTAGGGCAGATTGTTAGTTAACAATTGCCTTAGTAACCTGTATTCTTATAAGGTAGGTATTCTGTGTTTTGCTTTCTGCAATGTATTTGCAGTTTTACAATTTTGTTTGTTCCACTCAAGTTTTCTTTCCTTAAGAACTAAAAAAATACTTATTGAAGCTAACTCGTATTTGACAGAATATTAAATACTTTTTTCAAAACTACTTTTTCTCAGGTTTCTTTTCTGCTTACCTCACGTAGTTTCCAGATGAAGTTCCATCTAGCCAAATAATTTTAGAGTTCTTTGAACACAGACTTTAGGGTTAAGTTCAATGAATATGCAAAACTATCTTGGTGCTACACTAATGGCTTGAAGTTCTGTGGGTTTTGCTTCTGCCTCTGGTTGAAATTGCTCTGAACAATCTTCTAGTTTCACTTAAATTTATGTACAGTACAAATAGAAAAGAGATTTTTTTAAAGTCAGTCACGTTTATTTTCTCCAATGATTTCAGCTTCTTCCACTCAGTATTGACTCTTAAAACCTACTCTAAAAGTCAAAGAACCATTTTCTCCCTTACACTTTTTTGGTAATATGAGAAAGTCTTTATTCATTTTTTAAATTACTAATTGCTTAAATCACATGAAGCAGTTACAAGTTGTGAAATGCTGAAGGTACAATTAAGAAAACTTGGGTGATTTTAAAATTCTTTAGGCTTTGTTCATGAGCTTGAGCTGCTTTGTTTTTTATCTAAATCTCCAGAAGATTGTGCAGTCCCCAACAGGATAGTCTTTTAAGTACTTGTACTCTATAAAATAGCTAAGTATTCAACCAGGAGGTAGCTGCAGATTATTTTTGTTGATTGAAGTGATGCTGATGAATATGTTGTTTGTGCAAGTAAAATGAAGAGCACTATTTTAAATAATGTTGCTGTAGCCAGCTTGTGCTGTATTCTCTGCTCCTGATATTCTGTCAAATACGAGAACATGAAATCAAATATCTTACAAATTTTGATAAAAACTTTGATAAATCAAAGTCGTACAAATGCTTGGAGTAGTGGGCCACAGGAATATAGTCTCTTGTGCTTAATTTGCTGCTTGTAAAATGTATTTGAGAAGTATTTTCTATAGCTTCATTCACTAGTTAGAATATAAAATGTGTGGTGTGGTATGTTAAAATGCATTTTGTCTGTCTGTTCCATTAAATTGTCTGTCGACTTGTCAGTCACTAAAATATTAAGAATGTTGGATCACATACATTACTTGTACAGTAGAAATCATCACTGAATTGTTGGGTCTGCCATTAGTGGTTCTTGTGTCAAGGCACTGGATGGAACAGCTCTAAAGAAACAGCAGATTTCTGACAGAGCCTGATTTGGAGGATAAGCTCATTGTGTTTTGATTTCCTACCTTCCACCCTTCTTCATTTTTTCCCATACAGTCCTATAATGCTGTCCAGCCAAGAACAGTATTTCTTCCCAAGCAGTAATCAAGTGAAAGACATTGTAGACCCCTCTGAGTCAGCAGCTGTGACATCTGGGGTGGTTCCCTGATGTTTTGAAGTGTAACAGGAAGGGATGAAACAGGTTCCTGGCTGTAGATAAGTTCTGCCTCCCCCAGGCTCAGGCAGTGAGGATGTTTCCTGCTGGGACACGGCTGTGCCAGGTTTCCAGGGCTGGCTGTGTGCTCCACAGGACTCACGGTGCCTCTGGACACAGGCAGCACTCACAGCCTCCAAAGGCACAGCACTAAAACTTCAGCTGCAAAATAGGCATAAAAACCTCTGCCTGCTTTAGTTCATTGTGATGGAAATAGCTGTAGCTGTGTGCTAATTACACAGCAGGCATGAATTGGCCTCTGTTTCCAAAGGTCTGGACAAACTGCAGGTACCTACATGAAATTAGTAGGGCAGTCCCTTAAAGAGGTACATTTGCCTGCTCTCCTAACACTTTTCTCTTCTGCTCTCATAGACTTTTCTCCTCACCTCCCAGTACACGTACAAGTTCCCAGTCAGCCAAACTTTTCTTTTATTGTTACTTTAGATCATGGAGTTCATCGGACCCCTTCTATGCCAACGACAGGAGCATCTTGACTCTCTCCACAATGGACTCAACCACTTGCTGACAGGGACATTTTTGGTTGCCCTGTGGAAGCCGTGTGGTGCTCACACACCTGCAGCAGGTGCTGAGGCGAGCTCAGTGTCCGGCGCTGCCCTAGGAAAGCCCAGAGGGCTCCTGAGTGCAGGCAGGGCTTGTCTGGCCTGGCATAATCTGCACAGCAATCGCTTCCAGGATTTTTTCTAATTATATCTACAAATTACTAAATAAGTTGGTTTTGGTTTTTTTTTAGGAATGTTTTTTACCTCTGACCATTTGATCCTTTTTGTTGCTGCATGAGCAGATTGGAATCCTACGTTTAATACTTAAGACATCAATGACAGAAATCTTTCTCCTCCCAAATTTGAGTGATCCAATTTGAATCAATTTGATTCTCCACAATGATACTTTTAAAAGTTGCATTTTTCACTATGACCCTTCCCTTTAAACAGACATTCATTTTGAGCTGTCTTGCAGATGCTGTCTTAGCAGTTTGCAAATCAATTTTGTTACTTCTATGGACAGTTACTGTATTCTATAAGCAATCAGTTTAGTAATTTTTGTGAGTTAAATGCAATTCAAATATTTATGCTGGTGTATGAGTGGCAATATATTAGCCATTGCTTTGAAAAACACTTAACTGTGACAGATCAGTAATTTGGAATAATAAGGGATATAACGGTTCACTGTTCTCCTAAAGTACAATTCAGAAATCAGTCATCTTTTATTATGCCCTGTGTGTTTTGTTAGCGGTTCTGGATCCTGACATGGAAAAATTTGTTAAGAATTGGCTGATTGAGCAGAAGTCTCACTAGCATAAATTTTTTGAATTATTAATCCTTTTAAAGTTGGGGAATTTTTGCATGTTTTGTTCTTTTTCATGTATTTATATTTGGTCATGTTGTACTTTGAAGATATAATTAATGCATAATTATCTTCGTCTATCGGAAGGATCCGAGACCTTGATGGCAATGTTTTGATACCTAAGTATGCCAATAAAAGCAAATTGCACAGTTGGAGCTCTGGGTGGTGCATCCTGCAGGTGCCTCCCCCACCCACTGCAGACGTGTCTGCACAGGAGGGGCTGGGGAGCAGCAACATTGCACTGTTCCCTCAGCCAGGGTGGCTGAACCCGCTGCTTGTCCTGGGATTTGGGAGATGAAATGGAGGTGCTGCCAGGGTGCCTTAGAACGGGGCTGTTCATGGCTGGGGGCTGGGAAAAGTGCTGCTGCTCTGGGACACCCCCTTTTGTCACCTCTGACCATGACATCCCATCAGTAACAGGAGTACTTGTCCTGTCGGACAGTTTAAAGTGTAAAGATCCATCTTAAAATTAGCTCTGGCTAAAAACTCTAAATCTGGGCTGCTGCAAACCCGGCTGACTGTAACTGGGATGCTGCCAGGGGAGTCTATCCCTCTTGACATCCCAAATTCTCCCAAGTTCAATGAGCAAAGGAACAGATTCCGCTTTCCTGGGATCAGATCCGTCAGTTGCTCCTTACCTGTAAACAGCTTTGCTGCTCGTTTTCCTGCCCATGACTTGAACTGGGATTATTTCAGCTCTTCCCTTGGAGCTTTGTTTTTGCATTAGTGCCTGACAGCTTCACTCAGACCTGAAGGCTACAGGTATGGTGGAGTTTATAAGATCTCAGTGCTTAAGGCAACATCTGTGTAGGAAAGAAATTGTCATTGCAATTTTATTAAATTTGTAGTGACTTGGACATGCAGCACACAAGAGATTTTTCCCACTGTTATAGATGAAGATCAGTTCAGAAATAAGGAAGCTTTAAAAACAAATTATGAGACAAGAAGAAGAAACAAAATACAGCAGACTTTCCTTTTAAATAATTGTTCAATTCAGCATTCATAGTTCATTTCTATATCATGTCTTCAGATGCCTGAGTGCAGCAAAGCTTGAGGTTGAAAATGTCAGTGTGCACTAGATCCCCCCCAGCGAGTGCCCAGGGGATGAAGAAACATTAAAACTGAGCCTTGTGTTCTCATGCAGCAGGTATGAACATGTGACTAATCCCACTGCATAGGGCTGAAAACCTGGATCCAGCTGGAGAGGCAATAACCTGATTGTCATTGATCCAGTCCCCTCCAGATCTGCACTGGGAGCAAAATACACTTAGATTTCACCAACTCCTATAACTTCCTTTATATTTCAAATCTATATTAAACCTGGGTTTAAAATAGTAATTTTCTCCCTAGTAGTTTCTCCTCCTAGGACTCTTCATGCTGCCATGGATACCTAGAAAATACAGAATTATTTTACTACTCTAATCAGATATCTGCTGTTTAGCTGTATTTTACACCTCAACCAGAGTGTTTCACTTTTCAGCAGTGCTTGTTTGTCCTGTCAGTGTGTGTGACCATGTGCTCTCGTCCATCCATGTGGTCCGTGTGTCTTGCCCTGAGACCCAGACAGGTTCATTGTGTGAGGGGAGGCAGAGACTTTGCCATAAACCCCACTCCAAGCATTTCCACTGGCCCAGCTCTGTAGGTGATGTATTTTGGCTTTTAGCACACCAGTGTGTTGAGTAGATTTGCACAGAAGCAGCACAGTCGTGTATTTGAAGAATAATTTGCACTCATTATGTGTTTCTTTAAAACCTTCCATCTCCTCTCCTCCCTTTCCCCCTACTTTCCCTTTTCCCAGTGTTTGTAAGGTTACCGAAGAAACTTGCATTTAAACAATTCAGGAAGGACTTAAGAATCATCCCTCGGCCAAGGTATCTTTTTCTATTTGCAGTAAATCTAAGTCAGTAATATTCATAGAGCATGGATGTGGTTTTCTTAAGGCCAGATTTTTTGGTGTGACAAATATTTTGTGTGGAAGTCGCTGGGATTTTGTGGTATTGCCACAAATCTTTTAAAAATGCTTCTATTCAAGGAAAAAGGACTTTGTGTATTTCTTTGATAGCTGAAGTGTAGGAACCAGTTCACTATGCCCTGGGCACAGTGCAGAGTCCTTCATGAGGGAAACTGAAAAATCCAGCTGAAAAAATTCAGTGTAATGCTGGCATTCACCTCCAAGTGAATGCAAGTGTGAACGGGTGGGGGAGGCTTTGCCATGGGGAGGAAAGGTTTTATTATTTACCTTTTAGCCTTGAAATCCATCGAAGCCTGTAGTAGACGTTTGTAGTTCAAAGCAAGAGTGGTGAACACTCATTTTACTGTGCAGTGTCCCTGAGAAAGCACCTTCTTTCTGCACAGCTGCTCCCGAATGGGGTCGTGTTCTCTGCAGGTCAATTCTGCCTCTGGGAAAAATAGGGTTTGGTTTTCTTACTTAGGAAAAGAATTTTAGTTGCCAAACTCATGCTTGTAAGAGGACGCAGTGGAAAAAAACCTGAGATGTTCTGAATTGCTTCAAAAACTAAAATGTAAATATTCCGCTTAAAAATACTCTGCATTTTTTAAGAATACAGCAGGGAAGGGGGACAGAATCTTCAAAGGAAGGAATGCTGAGAACTTTGGTTTTTCATTTTCAGAGTGATTTAAGAAAAGCTTATGCAACTTGGAATGCATATTAATGCATACCTATAATTTCTTATTGAAAATATTTGGTAATATTTTCAAACTTTTTTTAATGATAGTGTAACTCCTGTATTGGAATAAAATACCATTTTCTAGTGCTCGAAGTGTCTCAAACCTGCAGCCTAAATTATTTTTCATAATTCTATCTGCTATTGCTATACTTCTAAATATTTGTGATTTTGGTGAAATTCCATGTTCCAAAGTGTTCAAGCAAAATGTGCTTTTGAACCACTTATTTCAAGGTTCTTTTTTCTCTTTTTTGTGTAGAATTCCTAATAACTCACCATTGTCACTGCCCTTGCCACTGCTTGTTTACACAGATTGTTACACAGACATCACTGCTTAAAGGAGCCATTCCTGGAGCTGGGCAAACCTTTCACCAGGGATTCACCAGGGACTCATTTTAGCTTTTATTTCCCAGCCAGACTTTCTCCTTTGCAGCTCTGGGCTGGGATTTTTTTTTTTTTTTTTTTTTTTTCTTTCTGTTTTTATTGTTGGTTGTTTGGCACGTTCCTTGTTTCTTCTGTTCGTTTGCAGTGGCACGGTTTGGTTTCTGCTCCGGGAATGTCTCGGTTTGGAGCAGGAGCAGGGCCGGGGTGCTGGGGGTGCTCGTGGCTCTGTCAGCTCCTGTTGCAGGGGCGGGATGTGCCAGGCTTCTGCTTTCTCTGGATTTCTCTCTCCCTTCAGCTCAGTGCTGCTCCAAGGGCGTCAGGACTCGCTCAGAGCCGTGTGTGCCGCCCCGGCCGCCTGGTGCTCCTTAGGGGACCTTGTTGTCACCGCCCGGCTCCGGCTGAGCCCGCCCCGGTGTCCCCCGAGCCAGGGATGCCGAGGGGCGAAGAGCTCTGCGGGACGCGGGGACACAAACGGCGCCGCTCGGCTGAGAGAGACCCTGGCGGGCACCTCCATGGCCTGGGGTTTATTCACCTCTGCAGTCTTCAAGGAAATCACTTCAAACAGCAGCAGGTTCTCACCCCTTTGACATTTTGACAACAGGATAGAAGATGACCTGTGGAGCGTGCCGTTGAAAATGGTTAAAAATGAGGCGCACCTTGCTGCAGAAGGATCTTATTTGTATCTCAAAGAATATATTTTTACAATTCCTAATTGCAGTTCCCGTGACAGATTTCAGGTTTTATGCATTCAAAAATAACGAATCATCATTTAGACTCCTGTTTTTTCACTGAAGTGGGATTGAGCTTGCTTCTTTGAAAGAGAAAACTGGAATGGTCTCATCTGTGCAAGAATTACCTTTTAAAAGATGTTGGTCCTTAATCTGAGGCAGATTAGGGGTGTTACCCATAGGAAATGAGCAATAAGTAATACAAAGAATTTTGGACCTCTGACACTGTGGCTGCCTCATGTTATTTTTGCTCCTTTGACAGCGAGGCTGTGTGCTTGCTCCTTGTACAGCTTGGTCAGTAGTTGTTTTGAAAATGGTTTATGAAAATTATATTTATTAAATAAAACTTTCACTTCTAGCCGAGTCATTGTTTTAATTATGTAAGTGGTAGAGGAAAAGCTGGCAGAGCAAAGCCAGGCTTGCTGAACCCCGGCCCAGGAGCAAGGCTGGAGAGAAGTCACCAGCAAGAAAAAACAAACCTGGGCCTCTCCCCACACAATTTTTACAGCCCCCTCATCTCTCACCCTCACAGGTTCTGATTTATCCCTGAGACTCCTGCCAGTTGTCCTTTGAACGCTGAAAAAGGCTTGAAATGTTAGATTCCAAAAACACAAGATTGAGTTTAGAAAAGAAATAGTTGCATTTAGGCAGCTTTTGCTGGCTGAGAACTTCCAGAAGCTGTGTTGAGTTTTCAAACAGTTTAAATGATCAGCCTGGGGCCTGAGGTACAGGTGCCCATTTAGGAACAAAATTCTTGGTGTTTATTTCTGCAGATACTTCTACACAATGGTACTAAACCAGCTCCGTATTTACAAAGCTAAGACCTATTTTTGATAGATGAAATTATAATTACATCAAGCATTTAATGGTGTGGCCAGCTGCTGGAGAGCTCAGAGTCTGAAGGGCATCACTGGATTTTGTTTAAAAGCCAACTCAATCAATTTACCAGCCTCAAATCTACAGAGACTTCTGGCAACATTATTTAAATAAAAGTGTGAATGACAAAAGTTTATTAAATGCATTCTTTAAAAAAATTATTCCTTTCTTAAATAAAGACGTCTCAGTATGGATTTCATTGTAAAACAGTTTTGAAGCAAGTCATAAGTTAGTTATTATCAGGTTGATCAATTAAAAAGTGACTTTACTGCTGTACTGGAGGCAAATCTGAACCCCTGCCGTGTGTGTGGTGTCTTCCTTCACAAGCTGGGGCCAAGGGCAGGGAGAATCAGCTCCACATGGGACTCGTAAACATTGGGAACAAGCAACAGGCAAGGTGGAGGAGCAGTTTCTATATTTTTTCTCCCCAAAAGAAAGACTTGCCCTGAACTGTATTTTATGCAGAACACACATATTCCATGCTTTTTTTCCCCACCCACTCCCTAAAAGCACATTCCAGAAACAAGTTTTACAAATAATACACTGAAACAATGCAGTACAAACCTCAGTCATGGCAATTTCACTGGAGCTTTATTGCCTCTGTTGGTAATGAGAGGGATTGTAAGAAGTTACATTTGGAACTTACAGAGATATGTAAATGATGGGTTTTTACTAAATATAATCTCAAGATTAAGTGTTTTATATCAGGGCACTTCTAATTTTGTACATATTTAATGTATAAAAACAGTTTACAAACTTGATGTTTGCCTTTTTTTTTTTTTCTTAACATTTGGCAAAATTAAATCAATCCATTTCCAGGGAGATCATCAAATTGAAGACATAAGCACTTACGAATTAAAGCAATCCAAGTAAGCAACTGGCTGCATTCTTAAAAAAAAATACAAACCAAAAAACAAAAAACCCCACACATATATAAAGGAAAAAGCCACATGGCCACATCCAAGCACGTTTCAGTACAAAATATTCCCTGTAGCCAGGCATTTTGTCCTTAGAACAACACCTTGTTAAATCAATGTTTCTTTCAACTTCAGTCATTTTGAAAAACTTTTAAGATGCCATGATAGCACAAATAACCCTTTTCTGCAACATAATTAGTCAAAGTTTTTATGTATTTCTTTATAATTACACAGTAATTATAAGCATGTAGTACCAAACTGATGACAACACAATTTTGTTGGAAAGATCTTGCATTCAAAAGGAAGAGTCTCTAAAACACCACGGCATTTTGCCACTGCCCAATCCCAGACTTTTGGAGGGACGAGTCTGCACTGGGATGAAAAGCAAGTCAGTTCTCCTCTCCAAACACAGCATACTTGAACGAATCAATCTGAAACAGTACCAAAACCCTCGAGACAGAAAACAGCACGCAGAGATAACCTTGTAGAGCTTTTTTTGTTTTTCCTCCCCACCCACCCCCATGATTTCAAGTCCCCATTTTTATTTACACAAAACTGAGAAAGGAAATACTGAAAGCAGCAAAACACAGTTTTTGGCGTAGCCAATTCCGGTAGCTGGAGAAAGTCTGCAATGTTTCTGAGGAACTGTATTTTTTTAATAAATGCACAACTGGATTTGCCAAAAGGGCACTGCTGTAAGGGGAGCCAGCCTTTGCACACAGAGTACAAATAAAAATTTTAGCTGTTTAATAGTCAATTTTTCCCTAAAATACTTTTAGCATCTGCATAAAATCATGCTGCAGTCTAGTGCAAGTACCAATGACTCTTCTCAAAAATAATTCTGGCCTTATCAGGGCACAATTTAGAGCATGGACTTAAATCCCCTCTTCTCACTTGTAAGTATGGTCTGTCTCCTCTCCTGGAGCTCGTTCTTTCCAGAGCAGGATTTATCACATCTCTTCACAAGTAACTCTGAGGAGTAGAAGACCATAAAAGCAGCTGAAGAGCTCTTGTATTATTAAAGAATTGCATCTGATAAAACCTGCTTTGATCCAAATGAAGCAATTTAGTCAAACGCAGCAAGACAGTAGTGATGATCCACAAAATAATTTAAACAAAGCCAGTGTAGTAGTTTGTATCTGATCTGTGCTTGTTTGGGAAAGTTTTAATTTCTGTATTTGGCAACCACAGTGATATGTCAATTTAAGGAAAACTCAGCAAAATAATTTAAAAAAGGGTGTCATCCATAATGGCAGTACCTCTATGTTATGAAGATTTATCTTACCAGGATAATGGTTTCAAAACCCAGATTCACATCAACCTCACCAGCTTCTTGTACAACAGGGCCATTTGCTTTGTCACACCTCAGCCATAGAAGTCACATGTCTCAATTTAAAATACTGTATTGTGTAGCAAACAGTTAAGACACAAATTCAGTATATTCAAGTGTTTGATTTCCACAGAAATGAAAAACCTTTCTTTGACAGACAGATAAGCATTTCAAAACTGTAATGAAATCTGATTTCTTAGAGATAACCTAGAGAACGCTGGTTCTGTGAGGACACACCTCGGCCCAGGGCGGGCTCTGCCATCGCCCCCAGGGTTGAAAGTGCTCGAGTTGTGTCGTCCCCCAGCTGTCCCCAGAGCAGCTGAGCCACCAGCAAACCTCAGCCAGGCACCAGAGACCCCCAATCAACAGCCCTGGGGCTCCTTGGTCACTCCTGGCACGGCTGTGACCAGACAAACTCAGACGACACCTGCTCTTTTCCAGAAAAGAAAAAACTCGGACCCAGTACACTTAAATATATCACTCTTGCAGGAAGTGCTATCAGTACAGTCTTTGCAACTAGCCCCAAGTGTATATTTAAGGATTCTTTTAAAAATTGTTTTGATGTTGATCTGTATAATTCAGATGCCATACAATAGTTGTCTGATGATGACCAACCAGCGTTGTGCTTTATGTGAAATCAGAAACCTCAAAATGATTATAAAGCTTCTAGGACTTATGGGAGATGAAACTAGGGTGATCCACCAACAAAAAATAAATCCATGATGAAATCCACAGTGTTGGAATTTTAACGGGCAAGAGTGGTCCAGACTAGAAGAAAAGCCCAAACCACCAGTAGAAGAATGAAATATGATATGGTCCAAGATGTATCCGTAAAGGTTTGTCTCAACCCTCAGCCACATTGTGAGGATTGATCTTCAGTTCAGTCCAGCCAGCAGAAATTGACTGTGCAATTTTCCATTTCAGGTATTTGTACAGACTATGTACACTCTAGAAGGGTCCTTTAGTGCTACACTGTCGTACTTTTTGTCCCAGCAATTTGAGGGCGTGCAAATTCCACAAAGTCATCAATAAGAACTGGCCATGCCCCTAAAAGAAGAAAACACCAGAATGTAAGAACTTGGTTCAACAAGGCATTCTTTCACAAGCTTCACATCCAGACAAGCTATTTGCTTTCCAGCATTAAATCAGGCAGAGTTTGAAATAAAAAAAATATAGTTTTATTTTCCTGCTTGAAATTTAAAAGCCGATTAAAGATTTCTGCTTCCTTTAAAAGCCACTTAATACACATCACTTCCAAGGATCATCTTCCATAAAAAACCAAAAAACTGACCAAAATCCTGACTCCAAACTGACCAGGGAATGAGGACAGTCCATAATTAATAAAGTTGGAGAAGTGTGCTGCCCTCTGCTCCGGAGGTATCCCAAGTTTAGCTCCCCCCCTCACTGAACTGATGTGCTGCCAAGGGCTGAGGGTAATCAGCTGTTCTTGGCTGCACATGGACTGAAGAGGAAAGATCAATACAAAAGTTTACAAGAAACACATTTGGTAGGAAGTGAGTTTTGTTCAGCAACCCCTGTGTGCTGCCAGCTTCACTTCTATGTCAAAACATGTCCAAGCCTCACATAAACTGAAGCAACCAGACTTAAAAACATTCTCAGCTACGAAATGAAATATCCAGAGGACCCTACACAGAGCTGAACAAACCATGGATCAGTTATGCCAAGAACTGCACCAAGAGAGAATCTGTGGGTTTTAAATGGACATATAGCAGGGTTTGTCTCAATAAGAAAGAATTTGGGGTTGTTTCAGTAAGAAAGAATTTGTGTCTGAACTTAGACAGAACAAAAAAAGAAAATGGATTCCATGAAAGCTTCAGCATTTCTTTTTAAAACATCAGTAACAGAGATGATTACAACGTGCATTAAAGCAGCTCTAACTGGACTTCAGATCACCAGTAATACTCTAAAATGGAGCTGGTTTTGAGATTATAAAGCAGATACACAGTGATAAATGTAATGTACAACACAGTTAGAAGTTAATGAGAGAAAATGGCAATGTTTACCTTCCTCATCATAGTTAGACATATCATCTGCTATCATTGTACTAAAATCTAGAAGAAGGTTCCAGGTATCCTTAGGAATTGATCTTTTATGATGTTCCTGTTTGGAGAGGTGGAAAATTTAGAGTTAAAAAAAATGAATTAAAACCCTATTATACATTTATTTTTACTGTCTCAGACACATCCATATCCCCAAAACATACTTCTCTTGTACACACTATGAATACCTGGGTTTTAGGTCAAGACAGTCTATTTCATCTACTCAACTTAACTTAACTTAAACATGTTTAGCTTCCAAGTTCTGAAAATACTGCAGTCCAGATCATGTAAAGGTTTACACTTACCAATAAAAATTTGTTCCACAAGTCTAGAAATTTAAATCTTCCATTAAGTACTAAATTCCAGTAGGCAATGGCCATTTCTAAATCTGTAATATTAAAATATATTACTTTTAGAGATATACATATCAAATATATAATCTCCACAAGTATCTAACACCAGGATGAACCATGTATCCATAAATGTGACAAGATTAAACTAATGCAAATATACTCATGGATCCATAAATAAAGTGTTACACATGTATTTTATATTTTACAGAACTGAAAACTGCCCATATTAATACCTAACATATCCAAAACCCCCCACGACATTTCATATGCCTTTTGCTATCTAACAATACTTTAGTTAAAAGTCAGAAAAATCTTTTCAGTTAAAGATGCTCTTGGCTTGAAAAGAAAACTTGTAGTACTTTGTACTGAGACTTTCTTTTTTTTTTTAATGCATAAAACACAATTTAGATAAAACCAGATTTTAATGATTTTATTTTTAGGGCAACCTTATTACATGCGCTGCCTTTGTAATGAGGCTTTTTTGGGAAATGCTCATTTCTGCAGTCAAGATTTCCTTTTGAAAAAGAATCTTTAGGTAGTGTCCTTAAGCAGACAGAAGACAGTTGGATTTGTTGGTGTTGCTTTGGTTGGGTTGAGGTTTTGCTTTTGTTTGGGTTTTTTTTGTTGGTGGTTTGGGGTTGTCTTTGGCCATTCTGGTTTGGGATTTTTTTCATTTTTTTTGTTGGGTGTTTTTTGTGACTTAGGGTTTTTTTTTTCTTCTTTCAAAGCCCCCTGTTAAATTCCTGCTTGTTTGGAATGAGTGAAGCCTGACCTGACACATTTGAGAGCAGCTCCCTGCCTGTCAGAGCTGCTGGAGTGCAGCAGCTCCCAAAAAACCCCAGCTGGTCTGGATGGAGGGGAAGGACAGAGGCAGCTCCTCCTCCATGGGGGGAGCCAGAGGGACAGAGAGGAGCTTGTGAGCACATCAGAGACTTCTGGAACCCACAGCTCTGCCCAGGGTCCCCTGCACTACCAGCGATTACCAGGGAATTGCTCGGTGCTGCAGCACCGAACACCACTCACTGTCAATTACCAAATTCGGTATCCTCAGCCACAGGATATCAGTGGCCTCAAAAGGCTGCCTAAGTAAGTGCCCTCTTTTTAACAAAAGCTCTTATATATTTGGGGTCTAGCAAATTTCTTCTATAAACAATCCCCTCGTGGAAGCAGGGAGAGAAGGCACAGGATCAACTGCAAACCTCAGGGAAAAAAAAAGAAAAAAACCCACACCAATAACCCAAGAACTCCACTCCCTTCCTTCCCCCAGGATGCCCAAATATTTAAAAGAACCCAGGGAGGTGAAACCAACAGCAAACAAAACAAAGTATGCAATCTGCATTGCTGGAGGGAAAACAGAAGCTGATGGGGAGTTTCTGAATTGTTTAGAATCTGATATTAAAAGTTCTCAAAGAGCAGAGTCAAATTATAATACCTCCTGACCAAAGAACAGAATAAAATCTGTCAAAGATCTTCCAGCAGCTGCAAAGAGGTTGGATTTCAGACAAAAGAGTAAGTTTGAATCTCAAGAAGCAGAGATAAATTAGACAGTGCTCATCAGTAAATAAAGCTGTATCTGAAAATGGCAACTCATTCAAGACTGTAGAGGCTCAAAATCTCTCTTCAACAGGAGATTCAGGTACAAAAACATGCATTTTAGCTTTCAACTAAAACTACTGCCTTTCTAACTTTAGAGGAAGCTGATCAGTTCCTCAAGGAAACAGATTAAAAACTAAGTTTTATTTACTTGTGCTGCTTTAAGGTGTGCATACAAAAAGGCAAGGTCATCAAATCACTGCATTTTACAGTGGTTTGTAAACAATCACTAAAAACAAACTGTGCATTCTGACATTTTTATATAATTTTGAGATCATTCTTGTGGGTAAGCAAAGGCTGTTAAAAGCTAAACTCAGGATGCTGCAACTTCAAACTCACTGTATGAGTCCAAACATGTAAAGCATGATGACACAATGCCCTTGGGACAAACTACGTTTTTAAAAATAAATTATATAGAAGGTAAAGATATAAAGGTAAAAATATAATTGGAAGGCAAAGATATCATTTTAGGTTTTTGTAAGCATGAGAATGCTCAGTGAAATCTTCCTGGATCAAATATAAGTGTCTCAAAATACATCCTCTATTTTGAATTTTATGCAGAGAGATGCAAGAGAAAGAAACAGAGTTTGATATGAACACCAGCTACAGAGTATGTTCCAATGAGATGAAAATATCACAAGAACTTTTCAGACACCCAGAGTACTTACACAGTAATAAGGATTGATGCAGAGGAAATATATTTCCAGAACTGTGCCTGAACTACTGCACAATGTTTGCAAGATTAGAGGCCAATATATATTAAAATCAATTTGCAAGTTCCTACAAGCAGTTATTTAGACACACCAAAATTAATTGCCTAACTAGCAGTACTTACTTTGCAGCTCTGTACTTTTCCCAGTATTCTTTTGCTCCAGGGTTCCAGAATTATTCTGCCCTGCTCTAAATTCATGCCTAGAACTGTGTATTTATGAGCACCAAAAGGGCTGGTAAGCATCCAGACTTTAAGCTCCAGACCCAGACTTAAAAACAATTTTAAAAGCCTATCTTACACTATGCATATGCTATATGGATCTCAGAAAGCTCTACTTGTCTGCCACTGCTAGAGCTTAACCTGCACCAAGCAGCTTTATGATGAATGAGAAACAAAGCAAGTGAATCAGTTTCCCTGGGAAATTAATTCCACAATTCAGTTGCTGTCCACATTTTCCTTGTTGTAGCAGCCTAAAAAAATATTATTACTTTCTGCAAGAAATACAAATCAGCCTATTCATTTATTTGATGATTCAGAAATGACTACAAACATGCACAAGTATTTTCATATGGTTTAGCAGCTCTTTTAGCTCCTCTGGATACAATGAAATTCACAATCCACTGAAAACAACAAACAAGATACAGCAAAATGTCAAGGAAGGACATAGAGCTTTTGCTTATTTATTTATTTTTCAATACTCATTTTAAGCCAAAAGTTGGTCTGTACATAAAAGCTAATAAAACTAAAGCAGAAAGTTCATCTTTACACAGCCTGGGAATGCACAGCTGTCCAGTGACAGCCAGTTTAGAGCATTGTCATTACTGAGAAAAACAAATTCACAAGCTGCCAAGGAGGAACCTACCATCCTTTCCATATGTTATTATTTCTCAGAATCAGAACAATTAACTTAAGAAGTTACAGGGTCATGAAATGCTAGTTATGGCTAATAGCCAAATACATTGTAGAGAAATGAATGTACATTCTGGCTGTTTAACATCACTGCTCAAAAGCAATTTTTATTCCCTCTTTTTTGTATTTTTGAATAGACAGAGTTACAATTTATTCCTTTAATTCCATCCAAACTGTGGTGTTCTGAAATTATTTTTAATAAATTATTCTTCCACTCCACCTGTTACACCAACCAAAGCCACAGTCAGCATGTGAACTCTGAAATAATGACAAAAAACCTTCACTGAGGTTAAGGGGGAAAAAAACTCTGTAGGTAGGTACCAGCAGGCATCAGGCCCAGAATACAGGAATCCATTTGTACCATTCCAATTCTATCCTGCCAAGACATTTGCAAGTATTTTTGGTATTACAAGGGACTGTACAAATGTGCTTACACACAAAATGGTTTTACAGCTTCAATTTATCCTAAAAGTAAAAATTCAATTAATCTGTTCAGTGCTGCAAATTCTAAGTGGTCTAATTATGTCTTTAATATAAGACTATAATCCATTGTGCTTACTGAGAACTGCACTCACTCTGAGTGAAAGAATAAACTCTCATAAAATTCTGTAGCCTTTATTAATAATCAATTTGAATACCTTAAATTGACATCTATCTTTCAAAACACAGAGATGTGTTTTATCCCAAGGGTGATTATCTTTCAGACTCATTGGATGACAATAATACATTCATTTACTGCTTTAATCAGTAATTTCCAATATTTATGAACAAATGCTTATGAATTAGAATACATACCTAAACCTTTCTGTCCAGGGTTCTTTGCAAAGTTGAAAGTAAATTGATAAAAATCTTTAAATCTTCCTGGTTCTTTTAATTCTTGTTCCATTTTAGGAATCTGGGCCTTCAGTTTTTCTATGCTGTCACATCTGCATTTCAGAAAGCATGTTTGTTTGTTTACTTATTTATTATTCATTTTGCCATAAAAACATGAGTGAAACAAAAATCTATAAACTGTTTGTAGAATACAATTATCAAAACAGAATTCAGGAAGCCTTTAATGAGTCTGCACCTCTACAAGAATTTCATTTATTTGTTATTTCTTCACATTTTATTTGCACATATACCTGATATATCAGGTTCTACAATCCCCAAAATTTTTAGGAAAATGTGATAAAGACTCCTGCACTCGCACAAGGCAGAGAAAACCCCAGGTCTGCCCAGTATCCCTGCTCTACCTGCCAGAGCAGCCCTGTGCCAACCACCACACAATGCTCACACAACCAAGGCAGGGCTGCGTTTTCCAGAGGAAGACAAGTGATGCTGGGCTCTGAAACATCTCAGAAAGGACACCAAGACTGAGAATTCCCCAAAACAGGACACTGGATCACACTGTCACCAGCTAACACTCAGTGAGCACTTACCCTAGCTCAGTCATTCCATCCATGAATTCCAGCTTTGAAAATTCACACTGTGTGGCAGCCCGGAATTTCCATGCAATGATGAGTACAGTGATGCTGGCTGGGTCAAGAGCTAGGTCATCACAGAACTGCTGGATTCCATCTATACCAATCTTATTCTCATCTTGAGGATCTTCAGGACATAAAAATAAGTATCAAGAAAAACAGATACTTGAAAAAGCTGATTTCTTCAACAAGTATATTTAAGACAAAGAAACATTTTCAATAAGCCATTTTTGGCTTATATGAGAGTATTTTAAAAACAAAATTAAATGAGTGCTCCTAATGGTTAAGCGTTAACAATTGAGGCACTTACTGAAATAAAGCCTTCCATACAATGAAGCTCATGTTATTTTCATTGAGAGACAAAAGCACCACAAACATTTGTTTTCTGCCTAATAATATGCAGGATCTTCTGACTCATTCCCTACAGAGCACAGTGGTTCTCTCCCCCCAGCACACTCAATTATTGGCCTCTTTGGTCAGACTGATGAGCTGTGTTCCATCAGAAGCCATTCTACAGTGTTCATTTCCAAGCTGTACCAAAACTCAGATCTGCCCATCCACGGCTACCCCAAGAGCAGATTTGGGCATTTCCTGGCACCCATGAGGTTTCCAGCAGGCAGGAGGTTGGACAAGGTAACCTCCAGGGGGAAGTCACACTGCCCCGTTAGCGATTCCAAGTCGGCCAGGCCTACTCCTCTTTCCACAAAGGAATCAACATCTGGTCTGGAAGCGAGATGTTCCTGCCCTAACAAAGATCTATGAAAGCAAGCCAACACAGACTTCACCAAAACGGTATTTGGATTATACATATAAAACATAGGAAAACTGACAGAAAACAGAGCACTCATTTTCAGATTAAGTGCTAAAACACAGGATTTGTTCTGCTCTGCTGACTCCACTTTATGTGGTAAGATATCAGTTGAATGCTGGCTATATAACAGATACAGAGACTTTTTTTTTCTTCTACACTGTTTGTAACTATTTGTTAATAAGAACAAAGCTGAACAAAAAGTAAGGTAGAACCAATTCCTAGTATGCAATCTTTTCCTCTGTCGGGATCAAGTCCTGTGTGATGTGCCTTTCCCAGGAGACTTACCTAAAATCCTCATTAACCATTACAATTACTCACTGTACACACAATTCCAGCTCAGACCCTAATGTCCTATAAATATAGATACATTCAGAGCACATAAAGTAATCCTTGTGAAGAAGCAGAAACCTCCCTGTATTTCCCTTCTAATTTGTATTATTAGCATAGAAAAACAAAGCTGAAAGAGTCAGTTAAGATTTCCCAGCAAAAGAGCACAGCATCACCAATACACTGTAAATAAGAATTTTACAAGTAAGAAATAAGCCTTAAAGTTCAGGGTACTCACCTTTGTATCTGTTATATAGTTGTTCTAACTTCTTTCTGTCCAGTGATCCTTTAACACTCTCTCGTATATAAAGTTCAGGATTTTGGAAAAAATTGTCTGTTGCAACATCTAACTTCCAGTCATTTTGAGACAGACAACTCACTGCTGTCTTTTCACTAGATTGTGTGAAGACCATAAACTGACGCACTTTATCCTTCTGTGATGATTTCAACTTGTTCTAGTGAAAACAGACAATACTGTAACTAGAAATGTCTACTGGACAAAGAAAAACACAAGTAAATAAAGGCTAGTCTCTTAATGTTTTTAAAATCATTATCTTTATAATTTTCCCAAGCAATGAGGATATCAAAATATCTGATCAAGTTCCTCCAGAGGTGGGGCAGAGCAGGCCACTGAGCATTTAGCAGCACGGAGCAGCAGGCTGGTGTCCTTTTGGTCCCAGCTGCTGCAGGACCAGGGCCACACCTGGAACGGGATCTCCTGAGGTGCCTCTTGATGGCAGCGAGGGACTGAAATACTTTAAACACTTCTTTTTCTTTAAAGAGATTTTTTCACTTTGAAGGTTCTCAGCTCCACCTACATAATTTGCAAAACATTCCTGCAAGGAGGCATTGTCTCCATTTCACAGGTGCAGCAACCGAAGCTAAAAAAAAAAAAAGGTAATTGTGCCTGAGGCAGGCGGGGGAGTGAGTAGCCAAGGTGAGAGCTCTGGAATTCCAGGCCTCCTGCCCAGACCCAGAGATCCCGCCCTGGTCTAGCCCAGAACTGAATGCAAACTCGCTGCTTATCAGCAGAGAGGGATTCCCAAGGATATTTCTGACGAGGAGAAGCACACTCAGGATTTCAAGGGTCTGAGTTACACAAAACTAACAGCTCATCAGGAGAAAGCAATCACAGCTCCTGCACTACACCCAAATTCAGATCTACAGTTCACTCAATACAGTCAAAACAAAGACTCCCAATGTTACAACTTGGTAAATTAAAGTTCTGACAAAATTTTAAGTCAGTATTGGATTTCTTATATGGCACAAATATTTCATTTTTAGTTTACTTTGTATTCTAACCAAAACTTGTATATTCTGTTCATTACTGTAACTGTAATTTCAACAGCTCCTTCTCAGGGAATATGGAGAAAAAGGGCAAAAAAATCCGAAGACACGATAAAATGCAACCAAAGAATGAATGATTTAGGAGCAATATGTGCTCAAGCTCTTAATTCCAAAGGATAATTAGTGTTCAATCACATTACCATTACAAAAAAAGAACTAATGCTTCAGAACACAAATTCATCTGTCTTAAAAGTCAGGATCAGTTTTCTGTGGCTTGATGACGAGGGTGAACTTCTTTTATTTGTATGAATAGTTAAGTTACCAGCTTCAGAGTTATATCATTGAAAAAAATCGAATTTGCATCACATTTGGTTTTAACTGATACCCACATGATACACTAAATAGAATTATACCCTTAGCTTACGTATCCCTTTAATAAAAATAATCTCCCCCAAACCAAACTGACCCAGTATCTACAACACTTCACTGAAGCCAAACTTTTAGCTCAGACTGCAGACTTCAAATTGAGTAATATTAGTTTGGCTATACCATTTTTAAAGCTATTATGTGTTGCTGCTTTATTTCAGTCTCTTGACCAAGTCTGTCACACTGGACCTCTGGCTACAAACACAATTCTGAAACTGAGATTTTCAGACGTGGTTCCAGGGAAAGCCAAGGCACCCGAGCCACTCCTGTGCCCCCCGGCTGTCCGTGCTTGGCTCCAGCACACATTCAGCACCTTGCACTACTGAGCTCACACTTCCACAAAAATCACTTACACTGACAAAGCCATGTGGAACAACTTCTAGAAATGACTAATGGATTTTTAGTTGCAGCTTTTTAAAATACATTGTAAACTCGGATATATGAAAAACAAACGACTGAATGAAATCCCAAATGAAGATGAAACAATAATCCCAAATTTAATTTTCTCTATCAATTACCAGCTTCCTCTAATCAGTTCCACACAGCCAGACTGCTGCATCACCACAGACTCACTGCACCATAAGGCAGCCATACTTAATTACCTTAGCTTTTCTCTTTGCTTCTTTTTTGTTTACAAAGCCGGTGATTTTAATCTTTAGTATTTTGATGTTTTTTAAATATGTACGCATAAGTATGCATAGCCCATTTCATAGTAAGTACTCTGTAAAACCTCAGGAGGCTTTGTTCTGCACTGCTCCTGCAAGGGTAAACTCCAAAAGCAGTGACATCCCACAAAAAGTCAAGAAACAGGTTTAAATAGGCTTTACCATGGATGCCCAGGACCACAAAAGCTGGTGTGTTATGCATCTTGTCACATAAAAGAAGAGTGCAATTTGTTAGATCAAAAACTTGCAGCTTAAATGTCTTTTATGATAAAATTTAAATTCTACATATGTACATGAGATTTTCCCATGCTTGGGGCTCACTAAGTGATAGTAACAACATAAAACCTTTTTAAAAGAAGATTGAAATTGCAAAGAATCAAGCAGCTAATCACAGTACAATCAGTACTGTAACAATCAGTACAACATTCAGGAAGATATAAGATGCAATAAATCACACTGTTCAGCCATAATCTTTTTCTTGAATAATCGTATTTTTCCTGGACAAATATGAGTTTATTTTTAGTGAAGAAGCACCAAAGCCCTTTCTTTTTATTTGATGAATGCTTCTGCAGAACCCTGCCAATGTGAACAAGACACTCCACATCCTAAGTGACTGGACACTCTTTGCAGGCCTGCTACAGGACAGCAGGAGATGGAATTACTGCTGAGTTTTTACTATCCTATTATAGCTCTTCTTCCAGCACATTAAAAACCCACACTTCAAGCAGGAACAGGTTCCAAACCTTCTGCACTTTTAAGGGCTATTTCTAGACATTGAGCACTAATAATCTATTATTGTTTTAAGTGCAATACAGAGCAGCACATAACCTTTAATCCTACAGTCATCAGGCAACAAATACCTGACACTGAAATTGTGCTCACTGTAATGCAACACCATCCACTTAAAACATCTCAACTTCAACATAGGCTAAAAAGGACGATAGAATTTTATTTAAGAGATACGTGTCTTTCCTATACATACAAATAAAAAACAATGGAAAGCAAATGAAACAAATTTGTACTCTTATTTCTTGTTTTTTCTTGCGTTAAGAGGAAAAGGAAGAATTTAGTTCTGCAAGCCTTTGATCAAGTTTGTGTGGTATCCAAGCTACCTTTCATAATAAGGATATCACAAGACAGATAACCTTATTTTTAAAACACAGAGTAACTTCTTCAAATGAAAAGCTACATTATGTAGATTCATTAAACTACACGCATTCTAATTAACATCTGGTTCTATAACTTTGATTTTAAAATGAAGATTTGCCTCTTACCATGAAGTACCAAATTTGAATATTCTAATTCTAATATTGTTTCCTTGATAAGACACTTCAGGGAAAAGCTACAAATAAAAAAAAAAAAAACCTGGACTTTTATTTCCCCAAGTATTTTTTTCTTCTAGCCTCAGGAACAAAAAATGCTAGAACTTCTCTACCAACTCTGACTACAGCATTGTTTTTCCTTATCTTCTGCACTGTTTTCAGTCACCCCAGATTCAGAGGTAAGTTCTGCACACTGGCCATCACCATTTTTTGGACAGCTAATAGCCGAATGAGGGCTCCACTCTCCTGGGTAATATTCACGGGAGACAGCACTAACCTTTGTCCCACACTGCCTGGACTGAAGAGCTGAGGATCCCAACTGGAGCCCTGTTCTGGACTTGGCTCAAAGGTCCCATGTGGCCACCAGCCAGACAAGCAGGGCACGATGAGCTTTGCTGCCCAAACTTCCTTGTGGCCCCCAAGGAGGGCACTCACACGGACACTCCTCAGCCAGCAACTGCTCTGCACCTTTCCCTTCCCAGCCACTGACACAGACGATCCTGCTAGTTTCACTGCTAAGTAAAGGAATTTGAACAATGTGACATCTGTGCTTTTGTTTCAGGCAGGACTCAAGGAAAAGCCTGTTAAGTTCTCATGCATGTGACAGGTAAAAGCCTTTTCTAAAATAGTACCAACCTCCACAAAGTCTAGGCCTTTACCCTGACTGCATTCAGACTCCAGCAAGATGCTTCCCACAATGTGGCAAGCATCCCAGCTCTTCCCAAGGACCTTGGTGACATCAGCTCCATCCAGAGGCTCGGGCATGCAGCCCCCACCCGACTGCCACTTCTGTCCCTTGATGTGACACAAGTGGCCTGGGGAGTTCTGTTCCTGAAACATCCCACCTTGGGCTGTATCCATGAAAGGAACCACAAGATACCTAAAAATGTTTGCTTTACTGCTTGTACTCAACAAACACATGGCTAAAGCTTAAAAGGCAAAAGCCTTTTTTTGTTTGGTAAGAAAAATGTTGGGTTTTTTTTTTGTTTGGTAAGAAAAATGTTAATTACAACAAAAATCTACCAATACACAGAACTGCACCTTAACCGACAGTGATGGTACACAGGTATGCTACCGAAAAATCTAAGGTAAAGACAAAAACAATGAAAGTAAATAGCCACCGTTTTTGCATAATGTAAACAAACATGCCCTTCAACTACACTTATTTTCCACAGCAGTTTCTCTAAGGGAAGGCACACAGAGTAAGAAAGTCAGGACATTTGTAAGTTCTGTTTCAAACTGATGTGAAATCCACTTGACTGCAGCCATACAGAACAAAAACATGAAGTCTGTTGAGATATAAAATCCAAGGGAAAAATCACAACATAAAATTAAAGTTGCTTTCCACCCTCTATAATGTTCTTTTAGTGGATAAAATAATTTCAGTATTCCCATGCAGGCCGAAGGTCAATATACAGCTACCCAGAAGGTTGCTGCAGTTATAATGGTAATTCATGCTAACCTGAGAGGTGAAGGAAACACAAAAAAAAAAAATCAGGGCTTTTCCAAATAAAAAGGGACAACATAAAGCAGCCAGTTGTTTAGCATTCTTAGCTCTGGTCTGGGGCAGAAGCTCTATTCATACTGTGTATTTGCCCTGGCATCATAAAACATGAGTAAAATATCAAGAGCTACATAATAAATTTCACACCTTGTTCTCAGAGTAGTTCATATTCTTGAATATTTTTTCTGTGGCTCTATTAAAAGTGATTTAAAGTATTAGTTCAAAGAGATCTCTGGTAAGCTAGGAGAGGAAACAAAATCATGCACCATCTTGTCTAGCACTCTTGACTACTCCATCCGAAGCATAATGCCAAGAATCTAAAGTTTTACTATGGGACAACCAAACCTCAAATATTTAATATCAACTGCTACAGACATGCATATGCACCACAGATTACACGTATAAACAGTTGGCCTTGCAGAATAACTTGTTGAGTTAAACACCACATAACAATGTCATGAAGTACACTAACATTACAGGAGACAGTGTCACACATGAAATTCTTCTAATATTTAATTTTACAACTTCCTGTCAGCTGAGGTTTGTAGCAAGAAAATATGTATTTATCAGCAGAGAAATATTTTTCAGAGAACACAAACTGGACAATATAATAGATAATGTAAATAGAGACAAGGCTAGCACTTGGCTCTGGATAAAGATGTAGATAATCACACACTGGCCTCAACACACTTTACCACACACAGTTCTAACTTCATTAAATCATTCAGAATTGTGCAGGCAGTGAAGATGGCTCTGAGTAGAATGGGCCAGCTTACTGCTCTGCCGTGATTCATGGGCACACCATTGTCCTCAGGATGAGATGAAGCAGTAACACCCAACGGGGAAGATGAAGAACACCACTTCTACAGGTGCTGCTCAGCCAGCTCAAACGAAGAGTGGGTAAGAGAGGCTGACTGCTCTCAGCAGTCCAAGGAACGCTGGCAGGGTGGTTTCCCTTCCAGATCTAGGACAAAGATGGTTCAAGGGCAGGAAAGCTCTGTCCTGAAGGCACAAGGTTCTGGCCATATGGACACTGGTGAGACCAAGGCAGAGCCAGCAGTGCTCTATCTGGCAGTGCTGCATGGACAGGTAGGAGCCAGGCCTCAGCTGCAGGAGCCTGTGCCATGGCATTTGCTGTGCTGGACAAACTACCTGGCCACAGCCACTGGGAGGACGAGCCAGAGTAGATGTGTACATGGGCAGAAAAATGGGACATCAAATCTCATGTTTCTGCATGGGCATTCTCAGATCTCTGTGAAGACTCCCTACCTTTCTCCTAACCAAACAGAGGATTTTGACATATCACAAGGACAGGTACAGAATCCTACACCTGGGCACTTGGAAACAATCTATACCTTTTTACTGCTTCTAAAAGCTGCAGCCTGTCATTTAGTCCCACTTGAGTGTCTATGTCATCCTTTCACCTGGGTGCTGGAGTCAACAAGCACAACCTGGAACACAGTTGTTAGCACAGGGCCTAACAGCTCTGCTCGGGGCCATGACTGGAGAATTCACACAGTCCCTCCAATCTGATAAATACCAATCCAGCAATACAGAGCTGCTACACAGAATATGTCTGCTGGTTCTTCACTTAAGTGTTTCCAAGAAGACCAAGCAGACAGAACTCTGCTGTTTCTCACAAGAAGTTATTCTGCAAATAATGGGCCTCACTATTTTTGTTACAATGCCACTTTCTACAGTATTGTTCAATTTAAATTTCTAATCTCATAGCCAGCCAATAATATATGTAAATGCACAACATCAACTGTTTATTTCATCAACTGTGTATTTACTTCAACTACCTACACTGGATATTCTGTGAGACAGCTCTAGGTGATTTTTTATGGAAAAAAGTCTTCACAAAAAGTTGTGTAACATTACTGTGTAAGCACTATTTGAGACAGTCTTAGACCTGCAGAATTACAATAAGACACCTTTACAGTCTGAACTTTACTGAGGCTTAAACTCATTAAAAAACACAAACAAAGATCTACATCAAACTCTTCAATTAAAAATTATACTAGTTACATAGTGACAAGTTTATTAGAGGTCTGCACACCACTAATTTAAATGCTGGCTAACCAAATTTTTATGCCATCATAACTCCATCAATTAAAGGTGACATTGTAATTTTTTTAATATGTCTTTAACACTTGTCAGAATAGTATTAACACCAAGTACAAGATGTCTTTATACCAATAAGCATACACCAGTACATCTTAAGATCCCCTCCTACACCCTTCCTAGGACTAGATCACTGCTACAGAAAAGTACTGCTTTAAATTGTACAGGTGTAGTAGCTAAAGCTGTGACAACATTTGAATACAGAAAAAGCCTAGAGTACTACTATAAACTCTTCCCTCTGGTGCATAAGACACTGCAAGAAACCAATGAGGGCCCCCTTAATTTAATTGAAGGAATAAATTTTTCTTTTGTTTAGGCAAACAAAACCAGCACATGTTCTAAACACTGCAGTCTCCCCCTACGAGAAACAAGGGAGAAAGTCAGTCAATTTGGGAGTCCACAGCAAATCCTCAGCTATAAGAACAGTATTACAGAGAAAACGCAGAATAAACCTTTACAAGACCTTTACTAGGAGAACCTTTGCAAGGCCCTCCTTTACAACACTTCTGTGAACAGAACCAACCAAGATCCTAGAACAATTATCCAGAAATTCTCCAACATAATAATCCCAGCTCAAGAAGCACCAACATCCTCAAGTTTCCCTGTGAACTGACAGCCCTTAACGGGCCCTGAGATGCCTGAAATCCTGAGGAAAACGTCCGAGCAGCCCCTGGTTCCTGGCAGCCCCTTGCACTCCCCCTCTCAGCGCTGCTGCAGGCACAGGGCAGGCGCAGGGCACAGACGGCACAGAGCTGCCCACAACACCGCCGCTGTCTCTCAGAGGTGCCTGAACCCTCACACCAGGTGCCAGCGAGCCCCTCCCCGCCGTGCAGGGCCTGCCGGGGCCCCGCGGGTCGGAGGCCTGGGCGGGATCCCGGCGCCCCCCTCTTAGGCCCCTGCCCGGAGCAGCCCCCGCCGCCCGCCCAGCGGCCCCGGCCCGGGCCCCACACGCCGGCCCTGCCGTACCCGGCAGGAGCACGAGCAGCCCCCGGGCCAGCACATCGTGCCCGGCTGCGGAGCCCCCGACACCGGCCCTGCGGCCGCTCCCGGACACCCAGCGCGCCACGACCAGGCCGCGCTGCCCCTGCCCGGCCCCGAGGCGCCGCGCCGGGCCCAGAGGGGCTCCGGGCGGCCGCTCACCATGGTGGGGGCTGTGCGGGCCTCTCCCCTCCCGGCTCGGGCGGACACTGAGGGCGGCGGCGGCGGCGCTTCCTCCGGCGGCGGCGGCTCCCGGCTCCTGACGGGCCCTTCCGCCGCCTTCCCCCGCTCATGCGCAGTGCGGGGAGCCGGGAGCCCTCACGGGGGGCGGCCCCGGGCCGCGCTCCCCGGAGCGGCGGCGGCGAACGGAGAGCGGCTCTCGCTCGGTGCCGAGGTCGCACCGCGGGGGGGGGGACTCGGCCCGAGCAGGGAAGGAAAGGGAAAGGCCCCCCAACCTCCAGGAGCTGTTACGGGGTGGGCTCGGAGGGGATGCGGCTGGGGCAGGCGGGGGTGCGGGGTCCCAGCGGCTCCTCAATCCGGGACCCGCTGTTCTGTCGGGAAAACTCCCCATGTGTTCCTGTTTCGTCAATATCAAAAGGTCAAACACTTCTCGAGCGCCCGGTGTGAGCGCCAGGGTGGTGTGGCCGCCGTTCCTGGGGAGCTGAACATGGAAAGGGCAAGATGGGAAAACCCCCGGGCTTTCCAGGATGGATTTGCAGAAGAGGCTGAGCAGCCGCGGAGACCTGGGGAAGGTGAAGTCTCGGAGCAGCAGCTTTATAGAGGAGTATCTCCACACCTGTAAGATGTCCCCGATTTCCCGCTCTAGGCTGTGATCCCCTTTGGGGAGCTGTGGACAGATGTCTTCCTGCAGTAGCACAGCTACTAGCAAAAGGGGCTGAAATCACGGTTTGTACCACTATCCCAGACAGTTGTTTTTTCCCATGAAAGCTTACTCTACCTACTGCAGGCATTTGGCAGCCTAGGGAGTTTTTGAGAAGCAGAATATTTGCTGATAAAACTCACAGTAGTGGCAAACTGCTGTTGTGAAGGACGAAGGTTTGAGATCTGATCTTGTTCTCTCATCTCCTGCTGAGCTTGCAGTTATTAAAGTAAGCTTCTGTATTTATATTATGTGACTAGTATGATTGCATACACCACAGAGAAATTAGGACTTCAAAAAGCCATTCCACATCATGAATGGCACAGTTAATGTATGTGTTTTTTTAGAAAATGGTCTGAATTGTTTCTTGCTTATTTTGCTGAAAATCAGAGCAAAGCTTAGATGGGAATGTGAGGAGTTAAGTTGTATATGGTAAGGAAAATCAGGCCTGTCCTGTGAAGTGTCCAATTTTGCCAGAGTATGAAACAGTAAAATTAAGAGCTTGATATCAAGTATATGGGAATATAGCTGAATTCAGCTATTCTTGGAGACAGTAGTTGCCTGGATACCTTGAATCCTACCAAAAATAAAAATTTTGAAATTGGGAATGGATGCAAATTGGCCAGTGAACAGCCATGAACACTGGGTACCAGCCAAGTCCATGTAACCATGGCAGGGGAGGCAAAGCCAAACCTGGAAATCTCTTTGATTGAGTTAGCTAATTGCCATCACTGTAACGTGCTGTGACAGCCCTCCTGCCAGCTGAAGACACACTTTAGACCTGGAGAATTATTGTGACATGTAACAATAATCTGAGAGATGAGCTGTGCATGCAGGAGATTCCTCAGGAGAGAAAGAGGATTTCTTAAGTGGCTTGTTTTTCTCTACTACCTGCAGATCTTGCAGGTTTCTTGTAATGCAGGATCTCTTAGTGGGGTTTTTGAATGTATGGGGCACACTGTGTTTGTGTTTAGTTTTTTGACTGGCTTGTGATTTGATCTCCCTAACTTATTAAATTGCTCTACATCATGAATTCCTGTTGTATAAGGTATGGAAAACCATACTTAACTGTTTCTGAGCAGGGCAGATAACAAGGTAAACCAGTGATATGATAATGAAGTATATTTCCAAATGTGAAATGCATATTGCTGCTATTCACAGCATGCATGCTACTTCTTGTGGGGCTTTTTTCCAGTTCAAGATCACTCCTAAGGTGAAACTGTACCTGAAAGAAGGAGTGGGTTCCTGCTGCCATTTAAGCTGTAAAGTCTAGTGTTACTGATTTTAGTGGGACTGCAGTGTTCTTTGGATATGGATGAATTTCTGAATCTGAGGTTGCCTTACCCAGAGCTCTTGGCCACCATGGTCTGACTAGACTGAGTTTTCTCCCAACACAGCTCACTGCAATGGGCACACACCTCAGTGCACAGCCAAACTGCCCCAATTCCCATATCCACATGCCTGAGCCTACAGATGGAGATGGGCACTTGCGTGATGTATGTGCCATCCAAATCTCACCATTTCTGAACAAAACCAGATGCTTTATAAAGCAAGAAGCAGCATGAGGCCACCAAAAAGTGTAAGTTACCTGAATTGTCCTTGTTACATGTTTCTTTTTGTACAGCTCCCTGCAGGATGGAGCTCCAGGTCAGAGCAGGGATACCCAGCTCTGCTGCTTGTGAAGGTGACACATGCACTCGGTGACACAGATGAGAAGGAAATTTCATTGTGCAATGTGCATGCAGCATAATCACCGTGACCAGGGTAAATGATGACTTGTTTCATTTATTTTAAGGCTGACACACTTGCCTTGTTTTGTTGTGCGAGCCAATGATGTTTTATCTTCTGATGTGAACCCCAGGAAAATGAGGCTGTGATTTGATTTTTTTAAAACCAACTGTGTCAAGTGCATAACTGAATATAACACTGAGCTGATTTACACTGACCTGAGCTCTCTCCTTGAGCAGACAAATAAGTCTCATGTTCGGTCAAAGCAGAATCCATTTAGTGTAATCCCCTGGCTGAGAACTTCCACTTAGAGCACTTTCTGAGGAAGACGCCCAAAGTTTTATGAAGGATAACAACAACCTGAGGCAGCTTGGCCTGGACATGTCTTTCTAACCACATCTTTTTGGCAGCTCCTTTGTGCCACCAAATCATCATATATTGAGGGAACAGCCATAGGGTGATTACAGTCATGGCCCTTTGCCTGCAATCTGACCCCATGGTTAAGAGAGATCAAAGTCCATGAACTACCTGCACAAGGAGATTTAATGCCACTCTAGGCATCCAGAGGTGCAGCTCCAATGGTCTGCTCCTGTTGTGCTGTTCAGCTGATAGAGTTGGAATGTCTCTGTCAGCCCATTATGGTTTTTTTTGCACTGAAAGAAGCACAGAGGAAGTAAACAGTGGGAGTCCTCCTGTAGGTGTCCGAGCAATTTAACCTGCAGTGACACAGCACCAATATCAAAAGATTGTTGTTGATAGGTTGCAGGGAAGGGTGTTCACCTTCTATTAAGTTTTTCATCCTTCCTGCATTACACAAGAGGTTAACTTGTTAACTACACCCAGTTCAAGGCACTGTTAGGAGCAGTTTTCCATATGACAGCATCTCTTGGAGGGAGCAGGACAGCTTTATGTGACAAAGCAAAATCAGGTCAGAGAGTCTAAGGAAATCTCAGAATTTCTCATGTGCTCTGCCATTTTCTGGCAGGCCTGAATAAACTGAGACTTTCCAGGACACCTAAAAGGCAACAGATTTCTAGGCTTCTATATTTTTTTTTAACTAATAAGTACTGAGATACATATAGTAAAAGCAAGGCATTTTAAGTAATATGAGTTAGCAAATAGGAGGGCAATAAAAATTGACATAGCTAGTTGTTTTTTTATGGACATTTTTTAGTTGAGAACTTCTGTAATACAAGGTACGATGTTTGTAACCAGAATTATTTGAAACTTTCCCAAGCTGTAATCCACACAGTGCCATCACAGCTTCGTGATTAAAACCTACACCTGTGAACTGTAAGCAGCTTTCCATTCTCACTACAAAGAATTACAGGTCATTTCTAGAATCTAGAAGACTGCGACACAATTATTTCCCTATCCCAGTGATTTTCTGTACATGCCATCTGTAATTGTTCAGTGTAATAAAAATCAGCCATCCCAATGCAGAGCACATATTTTAGTATTAGTATACCAAACAATAATTTAAGTTACTTATATTGGAGGTAGAGCCTTTTGCCTTGAAGGTAGGCACACTGCAGCTGTGCAAAGCAAGAACAGTAAGATGGCTCTTGCCTCCTGTCATGTTACACAGATTCAGCCTTTTCTGCTCCTCCTTGTGGCAACAGCAAACTGATTCTTGGGTTCATGGCTGTACCACCTGGCCAATAATACTGTCCTGACTGTAACCTCCATGCACGACACTGGCTGCCTGCATCACTACAGTGGGGCAGGTCTCAGGGAAAACATGCATTAACATTAACCACATCTCTATGTGACAGTGCTGGGTTTAAATGGGTTTATTCTCATATTTTACCTCCTTTTATAACTCTGCAGAGCAGCAGCTGTGTCTGCTGTTTCTGGGATGCTTAGCCCAGGACACTGAGCAGGTGTGGGGTCTTTGGTGGCAGATCCCACCCAGTATTGGTCACTGAGTGTGAGTGAGCAGAATGGGACAGCCCAGGAGAAGATGTCACCTTCCTTTTCAGAGGCCAAAGAGGGATGCAGCTCTCAGCAGCAGCCTTTTTCACCACTCTTTGGAGCTCTTCTGTGGAACCAAAACTGTTGAAAGGAAAATAGGCTGTCATGGTTTAACCCCAGCTGGCAGCTGCCCACATCCAGTGGGATGGGGAACAAAGGAAAATGGGGTCTTCCCCTTTATAGTTTGATGGCAATTAGGATGTACTGTGCACAGGTATCTGGCTAGAGCCTTACAGCCCTGTGGGTCTGTTGTGCCTGGCCATCTGATCCACAGACCTGGCTGTCTCTCTCCTCCACCTGGCTGGAGGCAGGGCCCCTCTAGTACTGGTCTTAGGATTCCCTGCTTCTTTTAAAAATGGATTCGAATTTTTTCCATAGGATCAGGAGTAAGATCAGCTCTTCCTCTCTGTGTGGGGAACTTCCCACTGGAGAATGGAGCAGCAGTTTTCCTGGAAGAACCCCTGTTTTTGATTGTTTTTTCTTTGTTTCACAACCAGCAATTCTATCATACCATAAACCAATGTAATAAAGTACAAGAGAATCAACCTTAGCCCAGCCTCCAAAGGTGATAAACAGCACAAAGGCAACTTGGACACCAAGGACATCATCACATGACACAAACCTGAGAACAAGCCCAACAACTCTGAGAACAAAAAAACAGTGACCACTGACT